GANCCCCCTCCCTGCTCCCTGCTGTGATGGGAGTGATTAGATTAGAAGGCGATTTGGGGTCTGATTATCTTTGGTGGAAATTGGCCCCCTGCGTCTTTTTCCATCCCATCCACCTGGGGAGGTGGTGAGCAGCTTCTCTGTGGCCACCCAGGCCAGAGGACTGGTCCCTTCATTTTCCTGCCACCCTCTCTCTGGTGTGTTTGAAACCAGGGCTTTGGGGTCTTGTCTCCTGGGGTGTGACAAAGAGGCCAGTCTCAAGAGACAGTGGAGAGTTCAAATCCCAGCTCTGCCCAACACCAGCAAGGTGACCCCAGGGAGCCACCTCTGCCCTCCGAGCCTCAGTTTCCTCCTGCATGCATTGAGGGCCAGTGTGAGGACTAAATGACATAACTGCACGTGAAGGGGAGCCCAGTGCCCAGCACACAGTGGGTGTTCTACGGAGCTCAGCTCAGACCGCTGTCACTGTTTTCCGAGCACTGAGAATGCAGGCAGGTGTGTTCCTGCCTCTCCTTTGAAGAGTCTCCAGCCACCCCTCAAGCCTCCATGTGACCTTAGTGTCCTCATTCATCTAATGCTGACATTTAACCACCCTTCCTCCCAGCCCCACACAAGCCGAGCCAGTGCCCGAGAGANTCCCAGGACAGAGGCAGGAAGCACAGGTCAAGGCCAGAAGAAGGCTGGGGTCTCGCCCAGGCGGCGCTGACTGAGTCATCTGGACCTTGGGGAGGGTGTCTGGGCTGGGGAGACACTGGTCACAGCAAAGGCTGGGGAGACCACTGGGGCGCAGAGAGAGAGAGGACCAGTGGGGCAGCTTAGGCCCCCAACTTCCCTGCCCCCATCTAGTGCTGGGGCCTGGAGGACACTCGGGGGCTCCTCCAAGAGTGGGGAGCACTGTGCCTTCCCCATGAGGTGTGGTCAGAGGCCCCCTCCTGGCTGCCTCCTTCCCCCTCCCTGCTCCCTGCTGTGATGGGAGTGATTAGATTAGAAGGCGATTTGGGGTCTGA